ATTTTGACGGTGATTTTTGACACGTTTTTTTACTATTTTTTAACGTCGAACACAATGAATACTTGTGAGCTAAAACCACGCTGCAATCCTCTTCTAAAGGTTTGATAGATGCAACGTTTTGGTATCTAAAAAAAAATTAAAACAAATATTAATTAATTAATTTTTTTAAAAAAAAAAAAAATTTTTTTCCTCTTAAATATATATATGTATATGACTACTACTCACTTGTTAGATTTGTACTTTTCTTGAATGGCTTTTTGTGGAATGCTCGAAGCTTTTCTGAACGTGTTATCTACCGCCGAAATACAATCAATTAAATCTTCCACGTGATGATCGACAACTTCCTGCAATTTAACAGGAAAAATTTCTTCCGTTTCATCCAGCAAAGTATACCTTGCGACACACAACGCCGAAGCAGCTATTTCGGATGGCAAATATGCCAAATACGGATCCGCTTCGAGCAAAGTTAATTCACATAAATACTGAAACATTTTTAGTAATTTTTTAAAAATTCATTTTTTTTTTTTTTTTTTAAAAAAAAAAAAATTTCACAAGGTTATATAATCGTTGGATATTTACCATTGCCAAAAATTTGACTTTTTCTACGGTCGGATAACACGATGCAAAATCCGTGAGAAAACATAAAATTGTTGGAGTACTCAAATCGAACGACAAAACTTTGAGTATGAGATGTTCCATTCTTAGTACTTGTTTTTTCGAATAAGTATCGTCCGTGATAAAAACGAAGTCGTTGACGTTGGGAGGATATATTTCTTCAAATTTTCTGCAAAAAACAAAAAAAAATTTAGAATTAAAATTATTTACAAACTAACATCGGGGCAAGAAGCAAAGCAAATCCTTTTTAAAAGGGTTGTTTTAAAACTTTAATTCAACTTACGAAGCTATGAACATTGCAGCGGTACCGACTAATTGTAATTTAGCCCTAATGACACTCATGTAGCTGAGGAATCTATCTATGTAAGACACTGCTAAATATAAAGTCTCTGTTTTCATGTGGTATTCTTCTACTACCTCAACTAACCAATCAACTAATATAGCTCTCATACCATATGAAATATCAGGCTGTTTGAGCATGTAATTTTTTTTAGGTCTGTGTTCATTCTATAAAAGTATTTTTAAAATATTTAAAATGGTAATATTACAAAAATATAATAAACAATTTTTATTTAAAAAAATAAATAAATACCTGAAGGGCTTTTAAGTAAGCAGATATTTCACATCTATACTCGTCACATGCATACAATTGCTCATTCATTGATAATTCATTAAGTCTAGAATCATATTCTAACTCTAAATTGCTACTAATTTTTGAATTGTCTATACTCATTGGCATTTCCTGCACACAAAAAAAAAAAAATAAATAATAAAAATTCCAATTAACAAGTGACCAAAATTTAAATAAAAAATTTTTTTATTGTAATTAATTATCATTAATCATCTCTTATACCTGAATTACATCATCCGTTTCACAAAATTGCTCCTGAACTGACATACAAGATGATGATGATGATGAGACAGAGGGTTCTCTATGTACAGTCGTGACACAAGAAGGAAAAGAAACATCTTTAGAACTAGTCGGTTTCTCTTGTTCTACATATTTATCTTTTAAAGCTCTACTTTTATTTTCATCCTTGATTGCAACTTTTTCATTGCAAGGACCTTTAGAAGGAACATCTCCAGATATTTCTTGAAAGATTTTAAAATCTTTTCCACTGGGCTGAACATTTTGATATCCTGACTTGACAACTTTTGATTTATGACTTATTTTGCAATTGACTTGAATTTTTTCATTATGAAAATTATACGTCTCATCTTTTGCTTTTATTGCTGCAGTGCTTTTCTGAGCAATATTTTTCTGAAAAACGAAAAAAAAAAACAAAATTTTAATATAAAGTATGACTTGAACAGTAAAAATACAATAAATTATTTTTTATATTAAGATTATATTCGGCATCTTATATATATTTGGTTTCCCTAATAAAATTGTAGTTTTGATTTACTTATTAAACATTGCAACAATTTCCTTAGCACATCCAAGCAATTATTTTTTATTTAAAAGTAAAAATTAAAATAAAAGATGTGTTTAACAAAATTTTATAAAGTGAAATTACATATTTCCTTACTTACTTTAATTATTGCTTTGTATAAAGGTGGCATTTTAAAATTATTTTCACCTTTGGTAAAATACTCCTCATTCACACTACTTTTAAATCATTTTTTAAAATTTACAAAAATTAATATGAAGTGTACAAAAAAAAAAAAAAAAAATTTTTTTCAAAATTTTGAAATAAAAAAAGAAAATAAAACTTTGAAATATGAGGCTAATCACATTTTAAATTCTCCACGAAATTAACCAATAAAAATTATAAACATTATAAAAAAAATTTTAAGTCTAATGCACAAGCCACAGCCAGAAACGTACAAGAATAAACAAGTAAAACCTATCTACTCACGTGAATGGGCAATTTAATTTCATTTCCATCATCAGAATTTTTGTCTAAAACTTTAAGTACAATCCGTTTTTGTGTTGGTCCGGCATCTTTTAATTTATTCGGTAAAATGGAAGAATTATTTTCCTTGTCCTGATATATGCTAAATGTAGCCATAGTTGTTTAAATGCCAACGGTTTTTTTGTGAAACTTCGTTAAAAAAAAAACGTTATAAATGAATTTAAATTAAATTGATTAATAAAACTTGGCATAGTTAAATGTGTTTATTTGTATTTTAATGTTAAATTTAAAAAAATAATTACCTAAAAATCAGAAACTGCCATGAAATTTAATTAATAGCTTAAAACGGACACACTTGTTTCTTGAGAAATCTGTTACTAATGAGTAACAGCGTTGCTCCGCTTTGTTGCAAATAAAAGAATTCCCTGAAAAAACGAATTGTCAGGGAAATTTGTCGAACATAAACGTGGCCTGCCGTAAAGTATTTTAATGTGTAAATATGACTATGTTTTAAGTTTTTAAATGTCAAAATGGATAAAACTGCGTTAGATTTTCAACATTTTGAACCCAATGATGGGCCTTCAAGAAATAACGCAGCTATTTTAGATCTTAGTCAAGGCAATTTATTTCAGCAGTCAACAGATAATTCTGATGGTTTAGAAACAAAATCAAATGAAAACAATACAAATTCTTTTTGGTCATTTGAATATTATCAACAGTTTTTTGATGTAGACACTGAACAAGTGAAAAATCGAATTATATGGGGAATGATTCCTAGACCCGGAATAAGTTATTTTCGAAACGTCATAAAACCCAAACCGGATTTATACGGTCCTTTTTGGATATCCGTTACCCTTATATTTACAATCGCAGTTAGTGGCAATGTGGCAAATTACTTGCAATTTGCTCCAATGGGAAATTATAGGTGGAAATATGATTTTCATATAATATCTTTTGCTGCTACTGCTATATTTATGTATGCATTTTTAGTGCCACTATTATTATGGAGTTTTATCAAGTGGAATGTCTCATCTTTACAAGTGAGTTTAAATTTAAAAATATAAAGTAAGTTATTTTAGTAAAATACAAAAAATTTTTCGATTTTTGTTATAGGATGGTCCAGCTGTAACATTTTTAGAGCTATTATGTGTGTATGGGTACTCGCTTAGTATATATGTTCCTGTTTCAATTTTATGGGTTATTCAAATTTCTTGGTTTCAATGGACTTTAGTTTTATTAGGTGCCACAATGTCTGGATATGTTCTTTCGACAACTGTTGCACCAGTATTAGCAGGTAAAAAATTTTAATTTTTTTTCCTTTTTTTATTTTATAATCGACAATAATTTTTTTTTTTTTTCAGGCCCGAAAAAATGCTTTGTTTTATGCTCTGTATTAGCACTTCATTTTGTACTTGCTGTAGGATTTATGTTGTATTTTTTCCATGTACCTTCAATGAAACCATCCATTACTATTCCTAATCTTGCGTCAAACTTATCAGGATCAAGTGCTTGATGCATACCTGTCATAAGTAATCATAATTGTTAAAATTTACTATAAATATTTTTATATGATTTATGGTGCATTACTGCAAAGTGTACACTATTTAATATTTATTATAAATATGTATTGATATAATTTTATAAATTAAGAGATTTTATTTGATTAAATAAATTGTAAATTCTAGTTATTATTTTTGTCTAATTAATTTTTTTTATCCAATACCATACACCATAATTTCAACACAAAGAGTTCTTTTTGTATATATATTTAAACTAATGATTTATATTTACTGAAATTTATCATTCAAGTTTAAAAATTATTAATTTTTCTTAGTTTCATCTTCTTTTTTTTTTTTAAAAAATGATTTTAAATTATGAGTATGAACCAACACACATAAAAATTTAATGGTACCATATATAAATTTGCATTTGAAACATTTGTTAAACAAAAATTAAAAAATTTTTTAAATAAAAAAAGTTTACATGCGATTTTTATAAAAATTCATACATAAATTAAACCATTATTAGGATCGCAATTTTTAAAAAGACAATTTTTTTTTTTTTTTTTTGTAAAATGAAAAGAATTTTTTAATAAATTCATTTTATAAAAATATAAGTACTTACAATAATATTTATATATATATGTATATTATTAAAATAGCAAAATAATCAAATATTAAAGGTATAAAAAATTTAATAAGCCCATATTTACTACAGTCAATTTTTAATATATATATATATTTATATTTTTCCATAGGAAATTAAATATTTATTAATTAGATATTGACTGTAATATACAACATTCCTTTATTTATTATCGAATAATAAAAAAAAAAAAAAAAAAAAAAAAAATAGAAAATAATTAATATTATTATTATTATTATTATGTTAAAAATAAAATAAGATTCAAAGTTATTAAAAAAATATTGTAAAAATAATTGATAAATTGTTACTGTCCGATACATGTTGATAAATACACCGTTTACAAAAAAAAAAAAATTATTATTAAATTCTTCTTTTTTTTTTTTTTATCATTATGCATCATTATACTGATTTTTGTATCTAGAAAAAAAAAAAAAAAAGAAAAATACTTTTAATATAAATTTAAAAATTTTTATATTAAATATTAATTTTTTTTACTTACCCATTCATTAAAAAAATAATAAATTATTTCGGTAGAGATATTCACTGCAATTAACTTATTGATATAACTTATTTGAATTGATAAAATTTATAATTTTATGATTTTAAGGAATTCTAAATGGTACTACTAAATCTTCCTTGTGCTCAACACAAACAGATGATAAAGCTTCTGTTAATTTTTTAACAGTATTTGTTATCTAAAAAGAAAATTTTTTTTTAAAAATTAGTTTGTGTTCATTTTTTTTTTTTTTTTCAAATGCAAACTAAATTGTTGTCGTAATTAGTAAAGGTGTCACTTATTTTTTTGATAATAAACTTTAGTTACTGTCTGGAATGATTAATTTATCTTTTAAATTATTTAAATTTACAAAATTAAAATGTGGCGTAGTAAATATTTAAGTCGTAGTTTACCATTAATAGATTAGCCTCCGAAATTGGTTCCGAAGCTAATACTTTTTCCGGAACAGGCACCTCAGTTAACAAATTTTTGTACTGATAAGGGGGTGACCATTTAACTAAACCATTTAATCTTGCTTTGTATGCTTTCATCCTCTCATAATATTCATGCTGTTCTAAATCGTGAGAATCCAATGCAGACACATCGATTACACTATTAGCTGTTTCATTTAATATTTTGGTAAGGGCAGAAAGTTCATCATTTTTCGGCAATAAATTATTATAACCTGGCACAAATTCATCGCTGTAAAATTTTACATTTATTTTTAAAAAAGTTTTAAATCATAAACAAATTTGGTACATTAATACAATAATAATTTAATGAAAAATTTAAAATAAATTTAAAACTTACCTATGCACCCTATGTAAATTATTGGGTGTATTACTAACAGGATCAACGAGCAAATGTGTTCTTTCGTTTGGTTCTCCTCCCTAAATAAAACAAATACAGGCAGGCTGATATTTAATATCATTTTCTTTATTAAATTTTAATAATAATCATTCAAATTGATATGACACCGGAATATTTCCCGAGTCATTTGTCTCGATACTTACGGTTCCTGATTCTTCACTATCACAACAGCTGGTGCAAGCCCCCATTTTGAAACTCTACAATCAGTCTATAATTACTTTGAGGCAAAAAAAAAAAAAAAAAAAAAAAAGAAATTTAAATGACAAATTTATTTTGGTTTGGTTTACTATCATACAGAGTTGCCTAAAAAAAGCGCCTTCTTTATTACAACGAGTTTTACGTCAAATCTAAATTTAAATTTGTAATATTAAACTAATTCCACGATTACGAAAAAATAATAATAATAATAATAATAATAACCCTTTGAAAAAATATACAAATTTTTTTTTTTTTTTTAAATAAAAATTCTATTAAAGAAATTAAAGTGAAAAGGGAAATAAAAAATTTGTTACGTAGCTGTATATACAGAGAGACCTATTTATTAATTTACAGGTTATACAGTTTACCTAAATTATCATTTCCAAATGTTTTTTTTTTTTTTTTTTTTTTTTGGTTATATAATATTGGTCTAAGTCATATATTGCTTTTTTATTTTTTATGCATAAATAATATAATATTTTATAATTTTATTAAATAAAAAATTTATTAAAATGAGAGGTATTAAAAGTTTTAAAAGGAGTTATTGCGTAGACAAAAAAGATTTATTTTCTCCCATTAAAGATATTTTAGAAAATAAACCGGTAGGAGTTTATAAAATTATAAAGGTATTGAAAAAAATTAAAAGTACTCCACAGAAAACAAAATTATTGTTTACACATTAAATATTAGTTAAGAAAATTATTTCTAGGGTTGGATAAAATCAGTTAGAAAACTGAAAGGTTTCCTATTCATAGATGTAACTGATGGAAGTTGTTTTGATAAAATACAAGTTGTCATTCCGAAAAACTCTAACCCTAAAAAAGTCGGTTGGGGTGCTTCGATTAATGCACTTGGTAAACTTCAAATTAATCCATCGGGAAATTTAGAATTAATGGCTGAAAGTATAAGTGTGGAAGGAATTTGCAATAAAGAAAGTAATTATCCTTTTTCATCAAGTCAAAAACAGCCATTCGATCATTACAGGCAATATATTTATTTGCGCCCTCAGTTGAGATATTTCAATTCGCTATTTAGGCTTCGACACAGTGCTACTTTAGGATTTCATCAATACTTTGATAAAAACGGTTTCATCGGAATACACACTCCTATAATTACATCAAATGATTGTGAGGGAGGAGGAGAAGTTTTTTCAGCTGAAACATTTTATAAAAATAATGAATCTCCTATGAAAGAAAAGAGTGAGACAAATAATCAATTTTTTTTTGACACTCCTGCACTTTTAACAGTTTCTGGTCAACTTCATTTAGAAGCTGTTACAAGGTACTCACGACACAGATTTTATTTAAGTATGAAAAAAAAAATATACTATTAAAATAATTTTAATTATTTTTAGGGGAATTTCAAAAGTATATACATTTAATCCGGTTTTTAGAGCGGAAAATTCAAGGTCTAGATTACACTTGTCTGAATTTTACATGATTGAAGCAGAAGAAGCTTTTGTCAAAGATATAAATGTTATTTTAGAAAGAATGGAAAATTGCATTAAATGTAATATATCATCATTACTCGATAAAAATCTCAAAGAAATCGAATACCTAATAAAAGAAAATGAAACTGATGTGAAAGATCAAATGAAAATGTTGGAAAATGTATTAAATAAATCATTTACAATAATGACATTTGTCGAAGCCAAAGAAATAGTGAATAAAAATAGAGATAAAATAAGTCATGTCAGTGGTAAATGTAACAATTTTACAAAAGAAGAAGAATTATTTTTAGTTAAAAATAATAATAATATACCAATATTTGTAATTGATTGGCCTAAAGAAAACATGGCTTTTTACATGAAAGAAAAAAATGATTTGGTGAGTATAAGAAAAAATTTCAAAATCAATTTTCTTTTTTCTTCGAATGTAAATTAAATATTATTTTCAGGTGGAAAAAGTAGATCTTTTAGTTCCTAACGTTGGAGAATTGTGCGGTGGAAGTTTAAGAGAAAATCGTTATGAAACGTTAAAAAAGAAATTAAAAGAATCGGATATTTTAGATTCGATGGAATGGTACCTGAATTTAAGGAAATACGGTAACGTTCCAACAGGAGGTTTCGGAATGGGATTTGAAAGGTTTTTACAATTCATGCTCAACACACAAAATATAAAGGATACGATTCCATTTCCAAGATGGCCGCACAATCTTCAACTTTAGTTAAAAAAAAAAAAAAATATTTACTTTTAAAAATAAAATATCACTTTAGTAATAAAAATTTGTAACATTTTTAAATGATTACCAAATGATTTTGATTATTATTATTATTATTACCATCCGTCATTTTTAAACAATTTTCTCGCTGTAAATTTAATTCGAAAAATTTACCCGGTAAATTAACGTCAAGTTACAAATTTTTACCGTTTTTTTTTTTCGATGACGTCATCATAATAAATTTTTAAATAACGATTTATATAAAAAATTGTTTAAATAAAAACAATTAATTTACATACAAAAAAAAAAAATAATAACCAAAAAAACTAATTTAAAATATTTCGTTTTATTTATTAATTAAAGAAAAAAAGAAAAAAAACCCACAATAAATTTACAAAATTTTTTAATTAAAAAAAATTATTTTGATAATTATTATTATTAATGCTGAAAAATAATAAGAATAAAACTAAAATTAATAATTAATAAAAAAAAAAGGAAAAACTTCTACAATAAAAAATAATTATTTATATTTTAAGTATTGGTTTAAATACCCAAATTTAATTTACATTTTTTTTTTTCCGTATATTATTTCACCAAAATCCACACACAACTAAAAAATATATTTAAAAAAAAAAATTTAAATTTAAATTTAAATTAAAAATTATTCTTGTTTTTTTTTTTCTTATTTTTTTTACATTAAATCCACGAAATGATTAATTAAGAAAAAAATATAAGATAAACAAAAATTAAAATTTTTGAAAAAAATATATAAGAGAGAGAACGTTTGTTTCTTTTGCAAATAAAAAAAAAAACCTTCCGACATTTTTTTTTTTTCGTTAAATATATGGATTGTTGTTGTTACCTCCTTCGATTTATAGTTTTTTTTTTTTTTTTTTTTAAAAGAAAAATTTTATTTTTGTAAAATTATTTTTAAGCATTCGATTTGAAATTTATTTATTTATTTATTTATTTATTTAAATATTATTTACAAATAATTTTATTCCCCCTAATAACAAAAAAAAAAATTTATTTGTTATCATTTTTCGCGCACTATTCGACATTTTTATCATCTTATCAGTAACGATATAAAGGAATAAAAAAATTTTTTTTTTTTTTTTTTTTTAAAATAAGTAATGGATTAAAAAAAGGTTTTTTAAATGACAACTCATATTAAAAAAAAAAAAAAAAATTTTCTTTTTTTTTTCTTTTCTCGATTCATTTTCACAAGTTTTTTGTTTTTTTGTCACTTCGTTGATATCACATAAAACATTTACATAATCGAACACAATCCAGAAACTTCGGTTCCTCTCACGCACGGTAGATAAACGGTCATTTCCCTTTCCGCGATTCTCGGTTTTTTCGGTTTGAGCGGTAACGGATCGGGATCTGCTTCTTCCGGTGGTGACGTCACGTCTTGAGCTTCTTTCACGTTTTGTTTTTCCGTATTTTCAACCGTTATCGGTTTGTTAAATGTTATTTTTATTCTGCTCGGAGCCGATGGCGTTACCTGTGGCGCATCTATCATTTCAACGTTTCCATCGATGGACGCAACGACGTTGGTAACCGTTTGATCGACTACTGCCACGGGTGATTCCATTTCGTCGACGGGCTCTTGTTTTATTTTCGACTGAAACGTATAAAAACGTATGAATTTAAAAAGTTGACAAAATTTTACATCATTTCCAATCAAAAAAAAAAAAAATATATCGTCCTTACGGGAGGTATTAAAACTACGGGCGATGGCGTTTTCCGCTGGTACACAATGTCATCCTCTTCGTCGTCCAATTTCTCTATCAAATCCACGTCAATAATATTTTTTTTCGATTCGACGGAAACGCTTTCTAACACTTCGATCTCTTCTTCCTGATCATTGTTACTCATTGTTTCATCAGACAAATTCATTTCGTTTTTAAACACGATGCAATTGATAAGTTCGTTTAAAAGAGTTTTAACGACTTCGACATCGTTCTCTTCGTTTTCCGTTTCCTGAATATTTTCATTGAATTCGACATATTCCTCCGAGTCTATTGCGGGTGCAATTGTTACATTGTCAACATTTGATTCGTCATTTTTGTCTTCCGTTTCCGTTTCGCTTTTTTCCGAACTTGTTATTTTTTCTTCAAACGATTCTTCTTCTTCTTTCGTAACAATCGAATTTACATCAATTGTTTTTTCGGCAATTAACGAATCTTCCGGCATCTAAAAATAAATAAAAAAAATTTTTTTTATTAATTTTTCTGTATTTATTGAAGTTTTATAATAATTAAAGTGTACTCACATTGCTCAAGTCTTCGTAACAAAGGGGATGAAAATATTTTTCTCCCACAACGATGCACGGTTTTAAATGCCATTCTTCTTTTTCTTCGTTGTAGTAAGTTTCGAATTCATCCCGACATAAATCGCATAAAGTGGTACCTTGTCCCGATGGCGCGGGAACACTTTTTAATTCTTCTTGTTCGTTATTTTCATCGCCGTTGGAAGATGCTTCTGCTTCGAACCAACTTTGAGCTAAAAAGTTAATTTTATTTTTAACAAAAATGCGTACGAATAATCACATTATTGCCACATTTTTACTAATAAAACTCACCCCTTTCTTCTAAATCTTCAATTTCCTCAAATTGTATCCAATCGGAAACATCGTAGTACCATTTACGAGATTGACCTTTTCTCGCTGCATCTTTTTCTCGACGATTTTGCCTGAAATGCCAATCCAAATGTCTTGAATATTTTACGGTTTCTTCGGGGGAGAATCGCACACCGCACGAACTACATTGTATTCCTGAATATAATGAATTGATGACTGGGGGTTGCCTTCTGAAAAATATAGAAAAAAAAAAATTGATAATGTATAAAAACTTATTGTTTTCTCTCACACTTTGCTGAATACATATGGCACATACTCTCTCAAAGAATTTGTATCACTAAAATCAATCGGTTTTGCTTGTACTTCATTTTGTGATTTTTGACTGCTATTCAACGAACTGGATAACGTTGGCACAATACCGGTGGCAACCAATCGTTGGAATAAATCATTAATGTTGATACCACTTCCCAAAAGAGGAATGGTTGACGGTTGAGATTGCGTTGTTGTAGCCGTTTCTAGATATAAAAAAAAAAAAAAAAAAAAAAAAATTTACAAATATACATTTTATTATCGGAGAAATGTGTATCTGTGTTTTTTAAAAATTAATTTAACCTGTTTCTGGTCGTGGTGTTGATGATTGTACCGGTTGTTGAACATCTTTACTTTCAACTTGATAACTAAATCCGACTGATTGTTCTGGTGCTGATGTTCCACTCATTAAACTCGTTAAAATGTCTAAGGGAGCACCTAAAGGATAAAAAGAAGAAAAAAAAATTTTACTAATAACCTTAAAAAAAAAAAAAAAAAAAAAAATACTCTTTGACAAAAAACTTACCAGTAGACCGGGGCGTTGATTGAGGTACAGAATCGACATTCGAATTAGATGTTGTGCTGTCCGACGTTTGAGTTGTATTGGCCGAAGGAGAATTTTTACCGCTGGCAACGTTGCTTAACGACGGCACTCCCGAATTTTCCATGTTGACAATTTTTACACGACCTGGTTCCACACCGTTTGGCAGCACAGATAATCTATAATAATTTAAATTAATTTATAATTAATACCATAAAATATACGATTACACAGTGAAAGGTGAAGAGGAAAAGGCACAAACCTTAAAAAGTGTAAATTTCCATAACCACATATTTGCCGACAACCTCCACCAAACTGGATATCAACAGGAACTTCATTAACAAGTAAGGTTTTTAAATTATTAACTAATCTAAATATATAGGGTCTAGATCTGAGATCGAACCTAAAACAATTTTTCATATGTTAATTATCATTCATTTTTAACCCTTAAAATATGAATTTTTTTTTTTTTTTTTTGTTGGTATATTACCTCTGAGGCTTGGCATCGAGAAATAAGGGTAACATAGCTGTGGCATCGACTATCATATTTATTCTACCGCAAATTAAGTCAGTTCTTTTTTTACCGATTTTAACTTGAGGAGGGGGTCCCTCCAATTGAACTAAATAAGGTAATCCGTCTATGTTAATTTGAACCGGTGGTCCTCCAAAATGAGCTTCGTAAAATTCTCCGTCTATGTACAATTCTCGCGTGGGCGCTCCAAGCCTTATCCTAATTTTAATTATTTTTTTTTTAATAAATGAAAATTAAAATGAAAATATTTTATAAAATAATAACACACCTGTGGGGATTTCCATTCAACATGAACATTATATATGAATCGTTTAAAGCACAAACAATACTTAAGTCTCCTATCGCAACTCTTCTTATTCCATTTTCAAAACTAATTTCCTTTGGATCATCCCACGAAAGCATTACAATGGCAGTATCACCGTAAAATCGAATATCTCGTGCCGTGCCATCAATATTAATACTTTTCATTGGATCGTTTGAAATAAGTTCGAGAACCTTGGAATCCGCGGGAGGAACATCCACGCAATCATGCGTTCTTTCGTTACACATGACGTCACGCAGCCTACGACAGAAAGTGATGACAGCGTAAAATATCGTAGCAGGTAGACAAAAATAAAAATTCTTTAAAAACGCAATACCTGTTTTCTGAATTTTCAAAATCATCCCCTTTTCTAAATCCTTTTGAATCTTCATCCCAAACTTCCGACTTAATTTGTCGATCTTCATTTTCAGAAATATCAAATGGAGCCCTGTTGGGTCCGCACTGATAAGGCAATCGACCGAACCCCTAAAAAATCAAATAAAAAATTGCAACTATACCTCCTAAAAATATAAAATTTTATAGGTATGAGTTATTGAAAAAAAATGAACTCACGGATTTTACAGGTGCTGAATCGTTGTGCTGCATGTTACGCCAAGGCATTTGTAACCTTTCATCAATATCATTAAAAGGACGCCTTTCTCCTCGTCTTTCTTCTTCTTGTCTAATTGGAGGACTATTTCTATTTTGAGACCCGAAACGATTCGGAGACCGGCGATTATTTCTATGATGATGTTGTGTTCTTCGTATCTCTTGACGTGATTTATTTTGAGCTTCTCGTAATTTTTGCTTTTCATTTACCTGAATCACCTAATAAACAACAAAAAAATTTATTAATTTCATTTAATGAATTTAAATCATTAATTTAGTGTTTGTGTTTAAACCTACCTGCTTTAAAAGTTCATTATATTCTTGTAAAGACATGGTTCCATTTCGAACCTGATCTGCTGCCTGAGCAATGATCATATTTACATTAATATTAGTATCATAATCTCTATCCATTAAACTTTCCAACCTTCTTAAATCGGTATCGCGACCATCTAAAACACCCAATGATTCCCTTCTAGCTCTAGGATCGTTAGGAAGCTTGTTATATAATAGTGGCCTTCCCAATCTATCCAATTCCCCGCGAGAAGTTCTTTCTTTAAAGTGCTTTTTACCACCTTTTTCAAGAGAATCAAAAGATGAAAATTGATGATCCTAAAATCATTATTTAAATGTAAAAACAAATCATATTTTTTTTAAGGTACTAAACCTTAGTAAGGCACAATTAAATATAACAATGCAATCACTGTGATGTGACTTTCTTCATTACCTTTCTCGATTCTAATTCTAATTCCAATTGAGCTGATAATGTTAAAGGTTTTATTTCGGCTTCAGGTTTGATTTTTAAATCTGTCCAATTCCTTCTGTATCTACCACGAGTTATATCAAAAGCGTCTCTGATAGTACCCTCTGCCATTTGATTTTCTCTTGAAAATTCACTGCTGTTACCATCTCCAAGTAAAGGTTTGTTATTTTCACCGACGATTAAAGGTGCTATGGTGGCTACTTGAGGTACTATCGGTCCGTTAGATATAACTGGAGGTGGAGGTGGGGAAGGCAATCGGTCTCCAGAATTAATGGTTCCTCCGGTTATTTTACGAAGATCCACATCTTCACTTCCAAATAATCTAAAGTAAATTATTATTTAAGTAATTTTCAAATAAAAAGACAATTTAATTATTTTTTCTTACCCCAAAATAAAAAAAAATTATTATTATTATTATTATTATTATTTATAGCATTAATTTGAAAATCCAACCCAAATATTTTAATAAAAATAATTTCAAAAAAAAAAAAAAAAATAATAATAATTAATAATTAATGATTTTAAAATTATTAATTAAAATTTAAAATTAGCAAAAAAAATTTTTTTTTTTTTTTTGTTGATGTTAGGGTTGAAATAACTTCTGCAAACTGTTGTTTTTTTTTAAAGGTATTTCACCACTCATAAAACATAACTTACTCATCGAAAATTTCAGATTTATTCTTCTTTTTAGGGGGTTCTTCGGTTGGAGTTTCAGTTGACAGTCTCTTCTTGCTTGGACTTCCACCCCTCATTGTTAAAAGCCTTAAATCCACATCCTTTCCCGATACATTCACTAAACTTTCTGTAACCAAGACTTTAATTTATTTATACTACTTAAATTTCCATCTCCAATCCATCACCAATGACACATAACAAAAAAAATAATAATTTTTTTTTCTTTTTTTTTTTTGTGTGTGTGTATTAAAAAAAATTGCACGGATCGTTTTGCCCTTAGGTATCCCTAAAGTATCAAAATTTTGTTTTATATTTATGACAATCAATAAAATTTAATAAAAAAAAAAAAAAAAAATGTTAGATCCTTGCAATTTTTTTTTTTTTTACACATTTAAATATTTCAAAAAAATATTTAATTGTATGTAACACATTTTTTCCTTTTAA